GTGATGAACCTGTGTACTATTGCCACCTGATGAAGAAGCACTGAAAAATGCCCAGCCACTTTGGAAAGCCCGTTGCCAAAGGTGCAGGAAAAAAATAAAGAAGTAGGCATCCGCTTATGGGCTGCAGCTTGGTTGCAATATTGTTTAAATGTGTAGGCTGGCTTATTAAGCATGTTGAAAGAAGCAGGAAAGCCCAAGGTCCTTCAGTCCGGTGCCACAGCCTCTCCAACAAGTTTATTTGGCTACTGGGCTGCATCCAATGGTTTGGATATTCTGTTCAGACTGAAGCTTTCCATTGTGTTGAAACTTGGTGCTCAGTTACGGCTTGGATCCCTGTCTGGTTCTGATTCCAGCAGTTGCCAGCATCGGAGGGAGAGCTCTCATCTGGTCCTCTCATTACCCTGAAGGCTGCCATCATTGGTCTGGGTCTTAATCCCACCCTCCACTTCATTTTCTGCCTGCCCATCAAGTCATGCTGATTAGGCTTTGTGGTATATATCCTTAAGATGACACTTTTAAGGAAGGCAAAAAAGGAGCCCATCCTTGGATGCTTTTGAAGGCACTGGAGGAAAAATTCCTTCCTGGCCCACATTAGGATGACCAGCAGAGTTTCTGGGGTAAACTGATATGTTTGAGGATGCTGAAAAGAGGCTGGGGCACATGGGGCAGAACCTTATATAGGGCTCTGCTCAATAGCCTGTACCTTTCCCCATAACATGAGATGGAGAAATAATTTGTCTTCCAACAATTTCTTCTTGAAAATCCTGCAGTGGTGTTGACAATCATTGTTAAAATGACCTGTCACACTCCTGGATCAGCCACATAAGGCAACTACTTTATCTGCTGCATTCTGTGTAATCTCCTCACCCACCCACCTCCATTGGCAGGCTAGCAGCAGTCACTGGGAAGAAGATCTGGTCTAATTACACTGAAATTTGTTGAGTGACTCTAAGAAGATGTGGGATTAGCTATGCATTATTGGCTTAATGATTACATGGTTGGAGAGGGCTTGCAAGCCACTAGGTTTAACCCAATGCTTAATGTAGAAAATCCAGAATGATGCAGGCAACCTCAGACTTTAGTTTCAGGAAAGTAGCATGTTGCCTGCGAACATGGATAATTTCTTGGAAAGAAACTAGACAATAATTAAGGCAAGAAAATGAAAGGATTGATTTCTTTACTGCCCAGTTCTAAGAAAGTCAGACTGGTCTTACTGCTATCTGTAGGACCACTGAAATCCCTAAAACTTTTCAGTAAATATATTATAGATGGCCATCCTTGTAGGAAGCCAAGAATCCACTTCATTATTGCATGGAAGAAAGCAGTTCAATGGAGACATTTCATTAGGTAAAAACCTGGAGTAGCTATTTTTTACTGTTTGTCCCATAAGGGGTGCAAATTGCAAAAGTCTCTGCATTGCTGCTTTTCCTATGCCCATTTTTTAAAAAATGGAAATGTGCAGTAGCAAATACTGCAAGCCCCAATCAAACAGAAAGGCAAAAGACATGAAGCATGGGGTGTGGTGAGTTCAGGGCAGTGACTGACAAGCAATGGGAATGTTCCACTTTTCATCAGATGTTCCCATAAGAGAAGGTTACTGTTAAGCCATCAGGTTTATGCTTTATTGGCTGGCTCTTCTCTGGTATCTGCCAATCCTGTGGGTCAAATGTACCACCTATTTTGTAAATGGAAGGCAGCACTCTATTAATTTTATGGAGCCCATTTTAACACTGAATGACTTTTGAGTTCCGTTGTAACAATATAACTGTCAGTGTTGATAATGCAAAACAACCAATGCACATTTCTGCTCTGTTTTCAGTCTAATTGTTCCTATTTCTCTTTATTGATCTGTTTTGTACATAATATGGATTTCCTGCATGTGTTTATATTATGTGTAATTCTGAGATGAGCTCAGAAAATCATTCTGATTCAGATAATATCTTCACTCTTACAGTATTGTATGTTGGGCTGGAGATGAGCTCAGAAAATCATTCTGATTCAGGTAAATATCTTCATTCTTAGAGAATTGCATGCAGCCCAACATTTAGAATCAATGGGCCAAGTTGCTAATGATTAATTTAAGTCCCACTTATATCGTGGCTGATAACAATGACTGTATTCATATGTGAAATGTATGCTTCCACGTAAGGGATGGGTCCTGCAGGTGGGACTCCCAGAAAGGAGGATTATGGGATTTCTTGTCCAAAAACAGCAAGGTGCATACCTAAAAAGAGGAACATGTACACCCTTCTGAGTTCCTTGGGAGAGGGACATGGTAAAAAAAACCTGATGAGGCAGGTACAATGACTATACCTGTATCTTAGATGCTTTTCAATTAAAGATGGGAACAAACCTCAGCTTGGAGGTTCATTTTGTACACATGGCACCACAAGTGCTGTGTGTTCCCTTCCCCCCTCTTCCCAGCCAATGACCACACATGGCACCACAAGTGCTGTGTGTTCCTTTCCCCCCAGCCAATGACTCACTCACCATTCGGAGCACACTCTTCTGCTGCTCCTCTTTGGTTATTTGACCAGTCCCCAATAGGAGCATAGATTTGCCTGTCTGAGTGGGCCATCATTCAAGAAGGCGGAGCAGGGAAGCCTGTGCTCCTGTGAGAGATTAGTCCAACAGCTGAAGAGGAGAAGAGGAGGTCATGCCAGCTGGTGAGTGGGGGGATCCAGCCAGGGCGGGGAGGGGGAGGGCATTTGTGCACCTGTGGTGCTACATGTACAAGCCAAGAGAAACCTCCAAACCAAGGTTCATGCCCATCTCTATTCCCAATCCAGTGCCTGGGTTGCCTGATCTGCACATGGATCGCTGATATTCCCACAACTTCCATGTTCATCTTCACACAGTGGATCAATGGAGCAACTCCTGCACTTACTATTCTAGTACAGTAGTTTGAGAGCAAGCAAACTTTTCTGAACGACAGAGCACCCATTGTTTCTTTCCACATGAGCAAGAAACTGAGCAAGTGAGGTCATTCTGTCCTGGGGATGATCTCATACTGCAAGTAAATATCTTTCCTTGGATTCTCTGAGAGAGAGAGAAAAAAATAAACATTTTTGGTGCAGCAGAATTATTCTCTAGGCAGTGGCTCTCAACTTTCAGTTTTTATATTCCATTAATCACTCTGTCAAACAATCTAGGTCCCACTATGATAGAAAGCTTGCTGTTCCTCAGAAGGACATTGGCAGATTTACAGGCATTATTATTATTATCAGCAAGTTTACACCGCAATGCTTCTGGAAGCAGAGAATTGGCTGGCTGCTCATTGTTGCTCAGGGAAAGACTGAGTGTACTCTCAATGCTTATCCACTCATCAGGGAGGCTCCTTCTATGTCATCTTCTGGTCAAAAATAGTCTAATTATCTTTACATCTAATTTGTTTTTAATATTACCTATATTTCATACATATCCATAATAATTTTAAATCGTGCTACACTTAAATACAAATAAAGATTAAAGTGATCATATGGCTCAGTGGCATCCTATCCTATTTCAGAACCAAAACCTAAGGCTAGAGGTTGGGACCTTTTTGTCAGAAGAGAAGCCCAGAACTATTTCTGGGCCCACTGACTGCAAAAATCCAAGAAATCGAGATGAATGGGCTGGGTAAAACCTGGGTAACTGATTAATATAGGAAAATTAGCAGGGACAGAAGAGAGATTTTGACAGACAGGCAGGTAGGTAGGCAGACAAAATGCATCCAAGTGGTTGCTACCATTCTGCATGAGGACATACTGTATCCTGCATGCCCTTCCTATAACACACCTGAGAAACAGGGAGTTTCTTTTGGCTGCTCACTGCTGCTGGAATTTGGGGAGGACTCATCAGAAGCCCATGGGGAGTTTTTGCCTTTTCCCCAAGCCCTGGACCATTGGGCCAAAAGAAGGCTCAGGAGTTGCAATGCTGGCATTCATCTCCCTGCCTCACATCAAATGGCACAATGTGCTGTAGGGCATGCCACTACCAGCTCTTTCCCCAGTCAGCTTCCCAATTATGGTATGTGGTACAAGCACAAGATATAAAATTAGAATTGTTTCACACAAAGTTACTGAGCTTGAGTGCCAGGTGGAGGTGGGTGGAGATGGATGCATTGCCCTCAAAACAGATATAACTCTTTCTTCTACACCAACACCTTTCACCCCGAGAGATGTCTCCTTACATGAAAGCCTAGAAAAGCAAGGCTATTCCTGGTGACGTCTGCTGATGTCCTAAGAAGCAACAAGCCCAAATTCATTTAAAAGAAATTGTAAAGACCTAAAGAAAACCCTTAATAGTAATAATTTTCAAAGTACACAAGCAATAAAAATGACAATAATTCCCCCTGTACGTTGAAATTGTAACAATATTGTTGCATATACATTTTATCACCGTGATAACTGCAGAACACAAAACAATAATTCTTTGGCCAGTATATGGTTGTTTTTTATCGTACAAAGAAGGGAAATTGGAGAAGCAGCCTAGCTAATTAATGAGGTGCCAATCATGTGTCAGAAATGTGCCTGTTTGTGCTTCTAGTTGCATGCTTGACATGAGTTAGGCATACAACCAACACTTCATCAATGAACTACAACTGCTTCTGTGATATCCTCTCTACAACTGGCAGAAGCAAAAGGATAGTGTCTTAGTAATTTTAAAATAAACTTTTGACTCTCCTAGACTACGTCTGCATCCTATTGTGTACACGTACCACAGGTTGAGTACCATTGCTCCAAACTCAGTGAGATATACATATATATACTCCATACACACCTGCACACATATATTCATTTCCATCATTGCCACCCCAGACTGTTAGCTGTCTCTGGCACTCTGCACATTTGTCTCATTAGGGGAAAATATTGTCTACCACCACATATGGTTGACATCTGGATTCACCAAATGAGCTGAGCGTTTATGCTCTCATTCCTCAGCAAAAATAGGTTGGTAACATAAGGTAATGTGCTTATATCTCCAAGCTTTAAGTGAAGAGGAAAATAGGCATCTGGGTGTTTTTAATTTGTAGCACTGGCTTGGATGGTTTAATATAACAAGACAGATCAAGGTTGACAGTGGAAGGTAACTTCATCCTAACATTTTATTTTAACATCAGGTAAAATGTAGAGTTATAGAAGGAATGAGACTGCAGATAAACATAGCAATTAAGCCACACAACAAGCAGAATTGTTTTAATATCTGTCAGTGGAATTTTTAAATAGTGGAGATTTCTGTACATGCATCTAGATTTGTTTATTCATTCATTTGTTTCTTCATTTCCTGACAGACCAGGATGTAGTGATGGTGGAAACAGTGAGGTAGAGGCTAAGACTGGGACCCAGCTTTTTTCTTCTGGAATTTTCTGAACTGAGACTGTATCGCCACTGCAGCTTTCTCTGTCTCTGGTGCATCCATGTCTATATCAAATTCTTCTTCAACTTTCTTTTGCCCATCTGCATGAAGAAAATAAAAGAAAACCCCACAACTATTTAATATAGATTTGAGGACAAAATAAACATCTGAGGCATGATCCTAAATGTGAGGGTGTGATCTTTTGGTGGCCCCCCTCTTCTATTGTTCAGCCTGACAGACTTACCTGGCTACAGAATACTGGATATGGCCACCCTTTAAATTCCACACAGGGTATGAGGGCAATGCCAGGATGAGGGCATTCTAGAAATTTAATAACATAGCTAGATCCATCATCCTGATTCTATTCAGATATGCTGGCCCCAAAGACCCATTAATCCTTTCAATTTGATCAATGTTATATTTACACTCATTTTGTTTTTAGCTGAAAAAATGCAGAATTTGGGGGGGAAATTTTACTTTAAACCCAAGAATTCCCAATTAGCATAGCCACTGGAGATATAGTTGAAACAAGTAACTTTCCCACATTGTGGAAAGATTTGCTCAAAGGACACCTTGTTCTCTGTGGTTTAATAATTTTGTTTGCAAGGTCCAATCTAACAGCAAACTGACAAGGTTTAGAAGGTAGAAATTTCTTGCTCTCAGGCACATTTCAAAGTTTTTAGTGTTTTAATTTAAAAAAAAACATATATTGTGAATAGCCACCACAATCAGTACAAATGTCTCCTTCTAATAAGCAACAGGAGAACAGATGTTGGGTAAATAAGGAAATTTACTGCCTATAAATATAAAATCCTCTACTCACACCACAAAGGTAGCACACATAAATGCACAATTTATCCAGACTTAATACTAAGATCTACAGTTGTGCTTTAAAATACAAGGTTTACCTTTGTTAGAGAACTGATACACAATGGCAAACATTCAATTTTGTGTATGGTCTTTTTCATTGTGAAAAAACACCATACACACAATTGAATGTGATTTTTTTGGTGTGGCAGGTTCTTAGAAAGATGGTAGATTCCTCAAGATGTACAACTCACACATAAAACGAGTCATACATACCATTCCATGCAAGGATATACACTAGCAGAGAAATCCTAAACTACTGTAGCTGAGAATGAGCCTTGTGTAGACATATACAGGATTGCTATGTAACTGGCTAAAATGAAAATGAGTTGCATCATTTGGGAATGAGGAACAGATCCACCGAATATTCATACACAAGGCATTCCTTGGGATAGTTTTTAGGCAGCAAAACATAATACAATGAATTTTGCCCCATGGATTAATGCATGAGTGTTCTGTTACTGTTGTAAAAAATGCCTTGTGCTGGCACATCCACAGCAGGAAGGCTCATTTTTCTTCTGACTTAGACAGAGTACACATCTCAAGGAGATGCATTTAATTAGCCTGGAGAATGATAAGACAAACATTGGCAAATTGGCCAAAGGTGTCTTCTCCTGCACAACAGCAAGCAATGCCAGGGCAATTATACAATGTCAGCATATCATTAGATTAGGGTGGAGCCTATGAAAATAAATTTCTCTCCATCATGTTTTGGATAACATGTTTCTAAATATGATACTTGTAATGCCATGTGGCAGTGGAAGACAGGAGGGCCTGGCGTGCTCTGGTCCATGGGGTCACAAAGAGTCGGGCACGACTTAACGACTAAACAACAGATACTATGTATTCTCTCTAGAAGCAAAAATGATGCAACTGAAGCTGTCATACATTAAACCTGTCATGAGAAATCACCGGAGTCAGCAGAAAAACAATAATATTGGGGCAAGTTGAAAGCAACAGAAAAAAAGGAAGTGTGATATAAGTGAACTACACACTGGGTGGAAGATCATCTTCTTCCACCCAGATCTACCCGAATCACCCGTCATCGCCAGCAGGGACGGCTGAGGGGTCTGACGCCGAGAGAGGCTCGGAAGGAAAAAACTAGAAACCGGGCCTTCTTGGCGGTGGCCCCTCGGCTGTGGAATGCCCTCCCAACAGAAATTTGGCTGGCACCCTTGCTGGGTGTTTTTAAAAGCTAGTTAAAATCTTGGCTATTTAAGCAGGCCTTCCTTCCAGTCAGCTAAGTCTTTTTTTTTTTCTCCTCCTCTTTTCTTATTCTATCCCATCTTGGTACTCCTTTCTTAAATTAATTGCCTTAATTAATATTGTAATTGTATTTTTACATTTTTATATTGATCTATTTTATGCTGTAAGCCGCCCCGAGTAGACGTGGTCTAGAGGGGTGGGGTATAAATTTAATAAATAAAATAAATAAATAATAAGAAGCAACAGGCTGGAATTTACCAGAACTGAGCAATAGGACATTTTGGAGGTTACTCACTCAGAGTGTCACTGTTAGCCTGTGGCATTCCTTAAGGTTCTGTTTTGTCCCCTGTGGTATTTAACATCTATACAAAACCACTGGGAGAGGCTGTCTGAAGTTTTGGGGATCTTCAGAATGCGGATGACACCCAATTCAATTTTTCTTTTCCATCTAAATCTGATGAAGCTGTTTTGGTTCTAAACTGGTGTCTGGTGTCAGTAATGGGCTGGATGAGGACAATAAACTGAAGCTTAATCCAGACAAGACAGATGTGCTCCTGGTCAGGTATATGGCAGATCAAAGAGTAGAGATTCAACTTGTGTTGGGTCAGGTGGCACTCCTCTTTAAAGTATAGGTTCACAGCTTGGGTGTAATTCTTTTTGGATTCATCTTTGAGCCCAGATGCCCAAGACTGCATTTGCACTACTAAGACTAGTGCACCAGCTGTAACTGTTCTTTGGGATGTCTGATCCCATTTTGACAAACATCTTCATTACATCCCATATGGACTACTGTAATGCACTTACATAGGACTGTCTTTGGAAACTGTCTGGAAACTCCAGCTGGTCCAAAATGCTGCAGTCAGATTGTTCACTGGGGTTGATTACAGGGAGCACAAAATCCCCCTGTTAAAATAGCTCCACTGGCTGCTGGTCTGTTTCTAGGCCCAATTCAAAGTTCCATTTTTGACCCATAAAGTCCTAATTGACTGAATTCTGAGCTATCTGAAAGACCACATCTCCATATATGAGCCTGCCCAGTTATTATGATACAAGGAAAGTACAGATTGTTCACTGGGGTTGATTACAGGGAGCACAAAATCCCCCTGTTAAAATAGCTCCACTGGCTGCTGGTCTGTTTCTAGGCCCAATTCAAAGTTCCATTTTTGACCCATAAAGTCCTAATTGACTGAATTCTGAGCTATCTGAAAGACCACATCTCCATATATGAGCCTGCCCAGTTATTATGATACAAGGAAAGTAACATGTTAATTTGAAAAGAAAAAAGATGATGACATGTTAATTTGAAAAGAAAAAAGATGATGACTCATTATTTCAGTCTAGTTGACTGGATAGCTCAGTGAATCAGAGCATCTGGCTGCATGTAGAAGAAGTACCAGCCTTTGTGACCTTGGGCAAAACTAACAGGTCTCAGAAGAGCCAAGAAGAAGAGAATGGTAAATCACTTCTGAGTCTTCTGTACCTATGAAACCCTGCAAAGAGTCACCATCAGTCAGAATCAACTTGATGGCACATAATTATTATTAATGCCACATTGTATTTTAAAGCGAACTTTCTGATCTGTGCCCACTCCCAGTGCTGTGGCTCAAGCCGACCTTGCTCCTCCCCACAGCTCCAAGCTGCCAAATGTGAAAAGACAAGAAATGCTTCCCACTCAACTCTATGCATGCTTATTCAGATGGGAAAGTGCCACTCTGCTCAGGTAAGGGTGCATAGCTGTGCATTTCCATCTACTTTGGAATCAACTGCATTGAACTTAATGTGATTTGTGGCTGCGAGATCAAACTGCACTGTTAGCACCCTTATGGCCTAGTGACCTACAAACATGACACTTAGCTGTAGCCTCCACTACATATGCCCATGTTATAGAACGTCCACTCTCCCGTCCACCCTACCCTCATTCAGACCCATATGGACACTTTGCTTCCACAATTTTTTTCTCTCTCTCTCTCCCTTGCTTGTCTAGCTTACAGACAGTCAGAATTATCCTTTAAGGACCAATAGTGAATCCGATACTGTGCTGAATCATACCCTGACAGAAAATTCTGGGTCTGTATGCCACACAGCCACCAATATAGAAAGTTTCATCATGCAGGACAAAGCACATCTGTGCAAATAAACAATTCTGCATACTTGGAGAGCATATATTTTATATTCACTAGAAAATAAATCTGTTTCTGTGCAATGATCATAACATACTTAGAGATGTTAAGGAAAATGTAGATCACAGCTGAATTTGTCATCTCTGATTGTTTCAGGACCCTGGCATCTAATTCCAAATGATATAATTGTGCAAGCAAATGAGCTATTCAATCAAGTTGCACAGCAAATATGTTAACTTTCTAATGTGTTCCTCTGCAGCAGCACAATCAATAAAAAAAGGATGGATGGTGAGCAATCTCCTGAGATATGTAGTGCTAGCATAATTACTCATGACCCGGACTTCAGCAAATTTCTTGATTTACTTTTGAAGTCAGAACTGAAATGAATGGCGGCAATGCCACTAACTGAAAAGCATTCACCATTCTTCTAAAGCCATGAATACCAAATCATTCTTTTCTCTCTTGGTGCCTACAAATCTCAATTTTTGAGAAACAAAACTTGCAGAAATGGAATTGTACCACAAGATCATGTATCATTCCAGTAATTGACAAAAGACTTTCATTTTAGTCGCAGAAGAGGTAGCTGTGTTAGTTTGTGCAAGCATTATAGGCAAAATAAAATAAAAGAACAAAGATTGTTAGTTTGTGCAAGCATTATAGGTAAAATAAAATAAAAGAACAAAGACAAAAGACAAAAACATAGTGACACCTTAAAGACTAATTGTTATATTTTACTAACTTTTTAAAAGGTTGCTATCGTGTTCCTCATATGCAGCTAAAATGAACAGGATATACAGCATATAGACCTCACCGGTGAGCTGTCTTTCTTTCTGGAGTATATGAACTGCACTGTATGATGTCCACATTCTAAACAAAGGACTTGTTAATTATCCTTTGGCTTCCCCTTC